CCTTTGAATTATATATTACCATATGTTGTTGCACTTCACATAAAAGTTGAAGGATATCCTTTTGATACCAATCCATTTTTTGCACACACTCTTATTGAAAAAGAAGTCAATTCATCAACAGGGGGAGTTGTATTATTAGGAAACAAAGTTGGCGTTCCAAACTGCGAGAGTATGCCCTATTGGACTTAGTTCCCACAGGTGGCGCCAAACAATTACATGCTAGAAAATTAATGATGATAGAGTAGTAATTTAACATCCCAGCTTGTATGAAGATCCAACAAACATAGTGATAATGAAAAGAAACATGATTAGAGACATGAAATTTTTACGTAGAAAACTCTAGTAAGGAATAAAACCATGATGTCTAACCTAACTAAAGTAGTGCACTATGTGATTCTATGATATAGGTTCATTCTTCTCCATAGTTATGGAAGATAGAGTTACAAAGTGGATAATCATAGCTATACAATAATAATTCAGTGATAATAGCCATAATCAGGTTGTATTTATTAGTGATAATAGTAATAAAGGCCAACAAAAATAGCACTTGATATTTATGAAGACCGTTGTCCACCACAAATTAATAGATGATATTTATGGTGACTTTAATAGCATCAGCTTGTTGTAGATGAGACCCTACTTGATAGCTTCAGAAGCATCTATTGGCCACAAAGGTCATTGTTGGAAGCTGCATTAGCAGTGAGTCATATAGACTGTAGTTGGTCACATAGGTTGTAGTAGAAAGCTTCAAAAGTATCAGTTGGCCGTGGAGGCCATAGTTGGTGATAAATTTATTGGTGGTTGCAATAGGTACATCACTTGTTGATATACGATGTAAGAAGGGAACTTTAGGAGTCCATAGAAAGTTGTATTCTAAATAAGATGATTGTAAGTAGCAGTTATTATAGGGAGTTATCGTCAAATCTTTGATACAACATTATTCATTACCCCGTATTTGGGATATGTCATCGCACTGTATTCACGGTGTTTTGTTAAGCTATAATATATGTTATTCCGCAAGGTGCTTCGTTGCAACATAAGTCGTTACTCTATAATGTCCAATAATGGTGATATGTAGGTCCGACCAACAATAGTCGGCAATGGGCGGCGGACAATGGTCGTGATAGCTAGTAGCTACAAGACAAAAAGTTATTGATAGGACTAGAAAAATTATGGAAATTGTCTCTTCCTCCCCCCCCTCCTCCTCCACCAAGTTTCAGGTACTGGTCTCTAGTCATAAAAAAAGTGGGGCTCTATTTATAGATTTTAGGGTGACATTTTTTAGAAATGTTGCAAGCATCCAGACCACTCCATCAAATATCCCAGTGATTCCCTCGGGTAGATGATATTTTATGGATATTTAAGTGCCCCAATTACATTATAATTGAGTGATCATAGGCTTGTTGGATTCATTTCATCATGATGTTCGATTTGACTATAAACTTGTTAAATTTGGAGTTCATTTTGCCTACCAATTAAACACTCAAAGCCTTTAAAAAATGTTCTATGGCTTGATCTACACTTGATTTGACTCGAATTTGATCAATTTTGGTGTCATTTTGTTCGTCTTGTCAAACCAGTTGGTTTGCTAGTAAGTTAACTGAAATCAGAGTTTGAACTATTTTTAATATGAATTGGAACATTTTTGGCCTAAGAAATCCCTCGAGATTCTTACTAAATGTTAAAATTTGATGATGGCTCATCAGAAATGAGGTAAATGTATTTTCTTGCAAGATAATAGTCGAAATGATTGTCTTATGAAGATGGTTCGATGACATCGAGAACGTTCAAATAATTTGTTCTTCTAGCTCTCCCAACGCGTACAATGAGCTTAATAAATTGTGAAAATTGAAAATATTTGAAGTAGCCTTCCTTGGTTTCTTTCTTCTCTTCTATCTCTCTTAGAAGTTTCAATTTCGATAAGCGGGTCGGGATTGGGTTCGACTTGAAATTGACCCGACCTAAATAGGCTGAATAGTATATGGGTTAAAAATCCCAACCTAAACTTGAACCCCCTTCAACACCTCCCCTAAAATTAAACGGTTTAGATTTTTTTTATTCGAACTTGACCTGAAAAATTAAACGGGAATCTAGATTTTTTGAGTCATGGTGCTGGCATATTTGTTCAATTTTTGACACTCCTGACCTCCCCTAACACTTACAATGAGCCCATGCCTGCACTTGATTGATTTATATTATTTAATTTATAAATTAGCTAAAAGATTTATATCACTTGCAAAACTCATAACAACTGATAAAATTATTGGGGTAATTACACACAGAGCACCAGATACATCACTATTTACAAATCAAGCATCACCATGAAAATTCATGGTAAAGCTCCAACCCATATTTCCCATTTTTATCATACTCTCAATGTTTTAATCGTCACATGCTTAAATACATCAGTTTGATAATTCAAAAAAATCACATGAGTATTTGATTTATAAATATCAGTGTTTCCAGTGATATGTATATAATTATCCCAATTTATTTTACAAACCAAACTCAAAAATGTCAAACTTTAATTCGGTTTGTTCTGTCTCTTTTTGACTGAATCAAAATATAATTGATCTTAAATGCTAAAAGAAATACAAAATAATCTTTTTTTTTAATTATAATTCAAAGCTAATCTTTGATCTTAAATGCTAATCGATGACTTGCATTCACTTTGGAGAACCAAACTATATATATATATATATATATATATATATATATATAATGAAAATAATCTTCACTATTTCTACTTCACAAATTTCTGTTATTTTTTTTAATTTACTGGCCTCTGTGTCAGTTAAAGTATAAGTTTCTGAATTGTTTGATTTGTAGAAAAATTAATACTGTGTAAAATAAATACAGTGCATGAGTAATTTATTTTTCATGAAGTACTTTGTGTTGTTTGATTTAGTGTAAAATAAATGAACTAACTTATTTTCTGGAAGTAAAATGAAAATAATGTCTTTCAAATGCGTTTGTAGGTGGTGATAGTAGTGTTGCCTGATGGCAACTGGCAACTGCGGTAGTGCCCGGTTGCGAGGATTGCAAGCAGAGGTAGTGGTGTTCTGCGCTAGCTGACAATGATGGTGGTGGCAGCGGCGGCGATGGCTGACATCAATGGCAGTCAGAGGATAGTGGGGTCGATGGTGGCTATCAGTGGTTGTAAGTGCTAGTGGTGGTGACCAGTTAGCGGCGGTGATGCCCGATGATAATTTATATGAAGTTATGGTTTCGAAGTTCAGTTAAATTAGATAAATTTCAAGTTCAGAGTTGAATTTCATGTGTTTTGTAATTTTAAATTTTAATTTTAATTTTTTTCGAACAACAACAACAAGGTTTTATCCCACTAAGTGGGGTCGGCTACGTGAATCCTTTTCTCCATGGTGTCTTATTGAGTGTAATATTTTCATTTTAATTCTAACAAATTAAGATTATTTTTCTTAAAATATGGCCAAGTTTTTCTATGTCTACCTCTACCTTTCTTAATATAAGTCGAATCTTAAACATTTACTCTCCTAACCGGATATTAGTTGACCGACATTTAATGTGATCAAACCATCTAAGACGACTCTCTTTAATTTTGTCTGCCACTAGAGCTACACCAACCTTGCCACGGATATATTTATTTCGCATTTTATCGCCGAGTGTAAAGCCACTCATCCACCTAAGCATTCTCATCTCGACAACACTTAACTTAGTTTTATGCTTCTCTTTTGAAGGCCAACATTCAGAGCTATAGAGCATTGCAAGTCTCACCACTATCTTATAAAATTTTTCTTTTAGTTTAACGATACTTTTCTATCACACAATAGGCCCGAAGCATTCCTCCACTTCAACCAACCAACTTGAATTCTACTAATAACACCTCCATCTATATCACCACTACTTTGAACAACAGACCCGAGATATCTAAAGTATTCACTTCTTTTAATAATTTAATCACCCATAGTTACAACTCTGTTCACTTCTTTTAATAATTTAATCACTCATAGTTACAACTCTGTCACTAGAGCTACTACTACTAAATTACATTCCATGTATTCAGTTTTATTTCTACTCAAATGACGACCTTTAGCCTGCAATTTAGACCTCCATAATTCAAGTTCTTATAGAGTTTTTTCTCAAATCTTTCCTACAAGAAGGATATCATTAGTGAAAAATGTACACCAAGGTACATCCTCCTGTAAATGTTCATTAAGAGCATCCATAACTAAAGCAAAAAGATATGGGCTTAAAGTCGATCGCTGATGTAATCCAACTTGTTGAGAAATAAGGATAAAGAATCACATGAATCAAGAATAGGAATCATTAAACCAGAGATTTAATGAGGTTCACAATATTCTTACGTCCTCAGCATCGATGAGCGATGGTTTTTATTTTATGAAGCAATTAATCCCCCAAGTGTTACAAATGCAATATATATATATAATTGTTACAATTACAAAATTATCATGCACAAACTCTCCCAATTGAACAGATGCTTTCACTGTGCTTCGCTCGCGAGCTCCGCTTTGCTCCAGCTTCTGCCCGTTATTTGGTATATGAGTCATACCTAATACAACTGAAATAGGAAAATATTCGGCCAATCCTCATTCTGTTCGAACACAGGTACTCACTCTAGTATACAAATCTTTAATGACTTAAATAAGTTATATCAACAATTTCTTTTCTAGAACTTTCTCAAGGATATCTCTTAGAACCTTATCATAAGCTCTTTATAAATCAATAAAAATCATATGCGCATGCTCTTTATTCTCTCTTTATTTCTTCACGAAACCTCTCAATAAATGTAATGTATAGCTTCCATGATAAACCTGCCCGGAATAAATCCAAATTGATTATGAAAAATCTTTGCATTACATCTTAACCTATATCGAATTACACTCTCCCATATTTCTTTCGAAAACTCAGCTGAATATTAAAAATGTGAAATTAGAGCAAAGCAACCCAAATAAATAAATAAATAAATGAGAAAAGAAAGACATTTGCTATTCTAAAAATTCCAGCTTTCAGCAACCATATACATCCATCTAATCTCGACCAGCCGTCCTCCCTTGCTGGACCGCCCGCCGGATCGGATGAACGGCAAGCTGACCGCCAGCATAACCGTCACCGTTACAGTTGCATCACGGTCACCATCGCCGACCACCCCACGTGTCCTCAAACGCCACATTCAAGCAAGTCACGCAACCGCGCTTCCAATCGCCATTCCATCATCCCAATCTATCCCTAGACAAATTCACTAATACCATCCTTATCCTCAAGCCCATCTCTCGTCTCCATAAAGCCTCCCACCCTCTTCCTCCTTCTTCCTTGCCGTTCCAACTGCTGGAGCAGGATTAGCCAGCTCTAGCCATGTATAATCCTGCTACACAGCTTCCGCCGGGCTTCCGGTTTCACCCCACAGACGAGGAGCTCATCGTCCACTACCTGAGAAAACGGACGGCGCCGGTCTCCATCATCGCTGCAATCGATATCTACAAGTTCGATCCATGGGACCTTCCCGGTAATTTTATCTCATTCCTTCAAAGTAAATCACGGTTCATTTGTTTTATGATCGCAAAGTGTTTGATGAAATGTCTGAAACAAACAGAGAAGGCGGTGTTCGGCGACCGAGAGTGGTATTTCTTCAGCCCTAGAGAGCGGAAATACCCTAACGGTGTTCGGCCGAATCGGGCGGCGGTTTCTGGGTACTGGAAGGCGACCGGGACAGACAAATTCATAAGGTCTGGCGGGGATAATGTCGGGGTGAAGAAAGCGTTGGTGTTCTATAAGGGGAAGCCGCCTAAGGGGCTTAAGACTGATTGGATTATGCATGAGTATAGAGTGGCTGAATCGCTGAACACTACTAACAGCTACAGACCTTTAAGCATGAGGCTTACAGATGATTCCATGAGGGTAAGAACCCTAGTCCCTTCTTTTAGGCTTATTTATAAATCATAATTTATATGTTAAGGAATATAAATATTTAGTAATTATGTTTTGTTATTATGAACATGCTTGATGAATTACACCCATCATAATAGGTTTATGATGGAAGAAGGTTATTGACTATTTATTTAGGACTGGTGTCATCATCTAATTTCTTCAACATAAAAGTGCAATATGTTGTTTTAGAGGAAATATTAATATACGCTCATTGTTTTAAGACTGAAAACAGTGCAAGAATAGTTGATTGTGAATTTTATTTTTATAATTAGGAGACCGAAATTCAAATGATATTTTAATCATTAATTGTTAATTTAATTAATAGACATTACAACTAATCAAATGTTGTGTAATTCATGCTTTGAACTAAGTTTTAATGTTTTCATAGCATGGAATAGTAGGCCTTCGATTAGGGTTGAAGTCAACAATCTTAAATGTTTTTGTACAATTATGTTTAATTCCATTTTTTTATATTCATTTATACAATAAAGTCGTGTACTTAGGTTTAAGAAAAATCATGTAAGAACTTTTTTGGTTGCTTGCTATATATGAGAGAAATTAAGTCAAATCCAAATGGGTTGATTTAACTTAAATTGAAGTTTTTAATTTTGACATAATTCTACTCTAGCCAACTGTAATCGGTTTCAAGTTGCTTTCTATCTAATCAAGTATATAACAATATTTTCATAAATATAATTTTAAACATTAATTAAAATGCATTATCTATAAAAAATATCCAAATTTTATTTATAAAATTCTATTATCAAGCATGATCATATATATATATATATATATATAATATCAACCTTCATTGCTTACTAGCTAGGTAGAAAATATAATTTAAAAATAATAAATTTTATTTTCATTCATTTTATTTGTAAAAATGAAATAATCACTTCTACAAGGTTTTGACCATGTCTTTTTAAAGTTAAAATCAATCGCTATTTCTAATTCCATTAAATCAAAAAATAAAATAAAATCTAAAAAATATGTCATATTTTTTATGTCTATCTGATATTTCTGATGCTCTTCTTCTTCCATAACATCAGCTGGACGATTGGGTTCTCTGTCGCATATACAAGAAGAGCAAGCACGTTTCGCCTCCATTGATTGATCGAGAACATGAAGACTCTTCAACAGATGATGCCAGCTTTCCCATACAAAACCTTCCTCTGCGACAACCGCTACAAGATTTTCCAAAAACTTCATCCGTATCAGAAGCTTTGGAAGATTTCTCGCAGCTCTTTAATGGCTTCTATAGCCTACATGATCTACAGAGATTTGATAAGAATCCACTTATTGGCCACCCAATTTCAAGTCTGCAACAAACAAATCATGATAGCAATGATTCCAACGGCCACTTCCTCCCACAGCTGTCGCAAAAAGAACCATCTGATTCTATTAACCTAAAGAACCAGAAGCATGATGAGATGGACAGTAAAGAAGAGATTAATGGAACCTTTCAGAACTTCTATGGACAGTTTGATAGCTCTGATTACAGCTTTCCAAACCAGCAATTCTTGCGCCTGCCGCAGCCTATAAACTCTCATTTAGGTTTGCAGTGAGCAAATTAGAAACAAGACATTAAAGAGATGGACATTTGTGTAAGAGCCAAAATACGTATCGAATAGATTTTTTTTTTTTTTGTTGGGTGGTTTAGATAGATCGGCCATATGTAGCTGCATGACTCAAACTAAGCAATAAATTAATTAGATAATTTGAGTTTATTCATTATATTGCATGGATGTGAGTGAAAGCAATCCAACGTAGCATAAACAGTTTTTTTCTGAACGTGAAAAAATATCAAGTGTGGATGTGCCTTACGTGCAGATGAAATTAAAGAAATACTATGAGTATTGCGTGTAGCTGTGGATATGACGGAAAATATTTGCGTACATAAGATGTACGCAAATATGGGTACATCAGAGGTTATTCAGGGAGTACAATGGGGTTATATCTGGGTTATACCCCCTTATAACCTCCAGTATAACCCGGATATAACTCCCCTGTACCCCCAGAATAACCTCTGATGTACGCAGCGCTGCGTACATCTTATGTAAGCAAATATTTCAGATGACAGTTCAGATGCGGCTAGAAAAAAAAAATTAATATTACATGTGTTCTTGGGCGTATTTGGGCTGTCCTCCCAATATCTGTACAAAACATGTAATATTTATGTGTAGATAAGTGTATTTGGGCTACCCTCTTAATCTTCACGTACTTATGGTGAGTTTGAGCTAGCTTATACTTGTCCAAATATGAGACTTATGTGGAAACACAGACAGCGAGGTTCGACTCACATTTAGTATAAAAAAACCAACTCTATTTTCGGATAAGTTGCTCAAACGCAGTTTCCAAACGATAAGACGAGCAACAAATAAATTTCCTCAAATGGAGCCTTAATTGTCTCTCCCTGCATAGAGGGGTGTGAATGGAATCCTCATGAAAGAGAAACTTAACCGCTTTAGTGCTTATTGTAATCCAATGAGGATCGATGTGCTTTTTAGGTTAAAAGCTTTGGAAGAAGGATGGAAGAATACTCCAAACCTGGATATTGACTCCTTGATTTATGTGGAATATTCTCCCGAGTAAAGTCTCAATAATGCATGCAAGTGTCACTTTCACTTCTTTTTATTAGCATATAAGCAAAAGCTAGCGGGAAAGTTTCTTTATCTATTAATTAATTAAACAATTTCATGGGTGTGAAAAGTCAAGTTCACTGTGCATGGATGCATGCATGAAACAAAGATGAACCTTTCAGTTATTAATGATATATAAAATTAGATGGCCTTTATGAAGAGTCAAAAACTTACGATTAGCAATAATAAATTCATTTTTGATGAGGACATGTTTTAATGAATATCTAAAATTAAAAATATCAAAATATTATTTGCAATTTAGATAATAATATTGTTAATATAATACGTGAAATATATCTTCTACTTATATCACAACAATATATATATATATATATATATATATATATATATAGATAGATAAATAGGGAAATGACAAATTATAGCAAAAGATGATCAGTTGTGGATAGATATGCACAAGATGCTATTTATAGACAGAATTTCACTAAAGAAATTAGTGAATGCATGCCCACTTTAAAGAAGATCACCAAATACATTTGAATTTATCACATCTGCCACCATAAGTACTGGGTACCATACTCGAAGTTAGAATTCTTTAGTATAAATTCCATATTATATAATTAAAAAATTAAAATAAAATATGTGCCTAGAAAATATTTTCTTGTCATAAAATGCCATTTGCGAGTCAATTCAAATTATTTTTAAATTCAAATCAATTAAACAACAAATATTAGTAATTGATATTTGAATTTTGGTTCAAAGATTCTGATTTTTCAATATTTATCTTAGAAAATTATTCTAAATGCCCATAAATTTTTTTAAACTTTAAATTTAGGGTTTGGGGCAGCCGCAACTTGTTAATAAGTTGCTGAAAAATAATTTGTTATTCAAAAAATTGTGGTGACTATTCTAATTTTTTTTTTTTTTTGAAAACCAGACCTCTGTTAGAAAGCTGTCATCACATCTAGCCAAGAAAAGTGTAAAAATGCTGATTTCAGAGGTTTGAAAACACAATTTTTTGAGAAAGCTGTCAAAACGCAGTTTACCCAAACGATCCTAAGTGTGTTTTCCGCACGAAATAAGCTGCACCAAGTGGGGCCTTAATTTTAAAATGATTTTAATATAAGATATGTTTGATAATAAAAAGTTGAGCATAAATAAATTTTGATAAACAATCATGTCGCTTATTTTATCTATTGTTGTAGTTAAAAAAAAATCATATTAGGATATTCAAGTCTAACTTATATAATTAGGATGATATGATAAAATTTTTAAACGTATAAAACAAATGCTCAAAATTAGAAAATATGTAAAGAAAAAATAACATTATGAAATAATTATTTTGACAAAATAATTTATTGGACTCTAATTTAAAAATTTATCATATTTAATTTAATATTTGATACACTAATCATGTTGAAAACAAACTAGTTTGCTCAACAATTTGGTGATGACTAACTCATCTAGAACTCATTAATAATCATTTAATTAACAAAATTAGCAAATTTGAATAAGTTTATATATACAAATTTGATAAATACATAAACTCGAACAATTTAGTATTTGATTTATATATGATAATAAAAAATATAATTTAAAGCAACTGAAGAATCTTATTCAGAATTTGATTAAAAGCTCAATTGACAGCATCTCATTTAAGACTCAATTTTACATGTATTTAATCTATATTTAATTGATAGTATTGTTTTTTTTTTTCTTATAAGGGGCATTTACATAAATACCACACTATTCATATGTATTTACATATGTAGCACCTCAACTTTACTTCTTTACATTCATACCACTCAAATTTTTCACAATACAAAAAAAATTATCCACATTTTAACTTTTAAAAAATGCAATAAACCTTTGCATGCATAGGGAATGTATCATATATGTTAAAATTGAAGTTTTGGTGTTAGATATGTAAATATATAAGAATTAAGTGGTATGTATTTATGTAAATCTTTTCTTTTTTAATATTAGATTACTTTTATTTATGAGCACAAACATTTATATGTTTGTTAGAATGATTTTTTATTAATGGATTAAATTAAAATCCCATATTTAAGCTTAATAAACTATTCATTAATAGACTCGACAATAAGAGTCATACAATTAACTTGTAAGTTGCTTGATACTATTATAGATTATTGCTATTCATTGATCTGCCTGATAAGATCTGTTTAGAAGAGTTAAATATTTAGCGTGAAGGTGATAATAATTTTCCCATAAGATCTGTTTCTCCATATGAAATGAGTGTACATATGTTAGATCACTAACCTAGTTAAGAATAGACATGATATATTATTTGTTGAAAAAAATCTACTAAATGATTATATAAGTTGAGGTTAGAAGGAAATGACTTGTGATACATTTTGAGGCATCTCTTGATCACTGTTTCTTTTAGCTCCTTTTCGGTCGACCGAGTTTGATCTCATGTTATCTTGATTATATTTTTTGAATATTTTTGAGGTGAATAATGCAATGTATTAAATATTGGTGATCACTATTTAAGCGTCATTAAGAAATTTTTATCATTCAACATGAAAATCAATGCATTTTCTGAATAATGAATGCTCTAAATTTAAATTTAAGATCATGCAGGACCCCATTTCAATATGTTTATAGTCAAACTATCCATTTTGATAAGATGAACCCAAAATTATCAAAGTTGGGTAAATCCGATTTCAATCTAACCCAAATCAAGCCATTGAAACATATTTAGAGGCTTTAGATCGTCAATTTAATATTAAATAAACTCCAAATTTAAGAAAATTAAATTTAAATTAAGCTTCTCAATAAGAGACATCCAATAAGCCAAAGATTACTCAATTCTAATGTCATTAAGCCGCTCAAATCATTAAGAAACTATGATGATCAAAAGGGATTAATATGAATAGTCCAATCATGTGGTTGGAGAAGTTATTCGTTAAATGATCAAAATGTCACTCCCCTGGTTGCTATGTATAACACCTGTATTTAAGATCCGTTGATGACTTTCAACTTTCATAATCACCAACCACCATCATCACCTATCGCCGCAGATTGCAAATCACTAGTGACCACTGCTTTCAACCGTAGTAATCAGAATAAATAATTGTTCCTAACACCTGTGTTTTTTCTTACGTTTTATATCTTCAAAATGTTATCTCTGGAGTACAATAGTAACCCCCTTCTCTCAGTTGTGAGAAAAAGGGTGTGCCCTTGTACGTATACAGTTATAGTGAATTATTTTGATTGGGCAATGTCCTATGGTTTTTTCCCCCTCAATATTTTTGCACGAAAAAAATCATTGTATTTCTTTTATCTATGTGCGTGCTAGATTTTTGTGCAATGCTAAGACGTTAAACCGTAAATTTTCCGTTACACAACAATTATAATATGATATTTTCAATAAAACTTATATAAGCAGTCTCAATAGACAAATATTTAGGCAATAATTCTCTCAACTTTCTCAAGCGAGCACATTGACACACATTAAACATATGATTTATCAAAATTACTCATCATATTATCGGGTTAAATGAGATTCAAATGAAAATTCACACTCAACTGAAGTTTCACCCATAATCTAAGCTTAATATTTATTTAGCAAAAATTTTTAAAATTTATCTTCTAATTATTGCCAATGGCTAAAGATATTGCTCATTTACTACTAATCTACTTAAAATCCACTATCCTTCTCAATGAATTCATAGAATCATTTGAGAATCTCTTAGTATTTATTTGATCATAGATAGTTGGAAATAAAAAATAAATATAATTTAGCTTTTTGTCTGCGGTAGCCTTCTTTCATCTCCAAAATTCAATCCAACCAAAACAAATGACAAGACAATTAGGAGCTTCAAGATAGCATAAAAAATATGATCAGATAACGTGTTCAGACTTCTGCGTGGCACTGTTAGAATCATTCAAACTACAACTCCTTTGACCAAACTAATAGAAAAAAATGAAACCAATTTAAGAAAAACATCTCTGCTTTTGAAATCTTCCATAACACCAGGGATTGATTTTTGAACTTTTATTTGCTTTTATCTTTAGTTGATGAATGATAAAAGTATAATTTTTAATAAAAAAAATAAAAAATATGTGAAAAAAACTTAAATAAGTATAATTTTTAATAAAAAAAATAAAAAAATAATAAAATTAATACCACCAATCATGAGAAGTTATCATTATTTTATGAGAAAATATTATATTGAGCGTTAATGTTTCGATGGCGAGTCTAGCGGAATAAGCTCAAAATCAGCTTAAAAAAATTCGATCTAAAATTTTAACTCTAACTCCACTTGCTTGTTTGAATATTACATGAACTCCTAACACAGTTTGCATTCGAAGTTTAATGGTAGGGTGCTACGTGTCAAGTGGACTTCATCATAATACACCGGTATCGTCCCGTGTTAAAAATGATGGAACCCACTTGACACGTGACGCTCTACCATTAGACTCTAAATGCATCAAAACTTCTTCCAATGTAATATTTTTTCCTCCAACTATCCTCTAACTAAGCTAAGAGTAAGAATTGAATCCATTTTAGAACAATAAACGGCCCAATTCAAAATTTTAACATTAGTGGGCCATTAAGAAACCGATTTCGGAGCGCTACACGTGGAAAGCACCAAACAATTTTTGCACGTGTCGTCAAATTCACGAGGCACCTACAAAACCAACTAACGGCGTCATATTCACTGTACAGCTCCATTCCTCTCCGACAGTCCGACTACATTCCTCTAACAGCCAAAATGGAATTCCCCTTCGGCCACGGCCACAGCCACGGCCACCACCACCACCCCCCCCACCCCCACCACCACCACGGCGATGATGACGAGGAAGATAGCCGTCGACACCAGCACGCCGGCGTCTACCCCCCTCCTGGCGTCCAGCACGTTTCCCATGATCGAGGCTACGACCCCCCTCCTCCTTTCTCCGGCAGCTCAACTCACCATGATCGAAGCTACGCCCCGCCGCCTGGCGTACAACACGTTTACCCCCCACCTGGAGTCCAACACACGTCTCACGATCGAGGCTACAATCCCCCTCCGCCGTTCGCCGGCGATTCAGCTCACCACGTGTCGCATGAACCAGGTCTAGGATACGCCCCGCCTCCTTCTTTAATTGGGGCAGACGTTGCGCCTCCGTACTCTCGTCCGTTCGCGGGAGCTCCAGTCCAGCATGTTGCTCACGAGACTCCGTATGGCTATCACCCAGGATACGCTGAACAGGTAAGTCATGAAAGTTGGGATGGTGGAGCATTGAATCAGTTGCCGACGGTGAGGATATATACCAAGGCGGAGGAGAACTACTCGCTTTCGATAAGGGACGGGAAAGTCATTCTCGAGTTGAAGAATCCCAGTGATAAACGCCAGGTAGGGGGTTTAGTTTTTTTTTTTTAGGGCTTTCGTTCTCTGCCCTAATTTTTGTGGGGCTTCTATGCTATTTGTCTGCAAAGTGTGGATTTTTGGAGATCGTCTCGACGTTCATCAGTTTTGTTGTGATCTGGTCGATCTACCACGTAATTTGCTTTTTCTTGGAGTTCTTACGGAGCATTTTTTCTTTTAATTAGTTTCTTTTGATTGAATTGCTTTTGTAATTTATTTTAGATTGTTATCAGGTTATCTGATAAACTTACTATACTTATGTTTAATGAATGATGAGTTTTGTTTTCCTTTTTAAAAATGCAGCACTGGATTAAGGACCTCAAATACAGCACGAAGATAAAGGATAAAGAGGGTTTCCCCGCATTTGCTCTTGTGAATAAAGCTACTGGTGAAGCTGTGAAGCACTCCTTGGGAGCAACTAAACCAGTAAGCCAATCTGTTGGATGATGGATACATTTGTTCTGATTTTATGCGCTCTGTTCGGCTGTTCCATTTTCTTAATAATTTCCAACTTTTCATCTTTGATTTCCTTTAATTTTGATGCTGGGTTGGTCTAACATTTACAAAAAACTATCGAATCCAGCAAAAATATTAACTTTATATTATTGTAGGGGGGAACTACTAATTACTTTCCAATTTCATGGAATATACTGTTGCATTTATGACTTTTGTTGTAATTAGAGGTAATTCTTTTGGCTTTATTTACTTGTATGCACTAGCCATCGTCTATAAAAGAGGCTTAGGGCTTGTGAGAGATATATGGCTTGAATTGAATTTGTGACTACTAGCATTTTTCTTTCTTCCATTTGGTGCTAGTGAAATCTCCCTCATCGTGGACGTAGACGAATCAATTTAACACTAAATAACGTAAATCTTTTGTGTTTAATTGTTTTCTGAATTGTTTTCTTTTCACATTGTTTTTTGCATAACAATTATTATCAGAGCTTTGAAATCGTGATCTGAGTGTGCTTCGACTTCAACAATAAGTGTTGCTAGAGTTTTTTGCAAGTCATGGTCCGACGTGCTTTGCTGGTATATTCGGAGGTTCAGTGGCTCCGGCGGTGGTCCAACGGTTTTGGAGATAGGCGCGCAGTTCGACTGAAGGTTTGTGCAGATGGATGCATTTCATGTGAAGAAGGGAAGCTTGGCATAACACAAATTAAGGAAACTTATTTTAGAAAGCTTTTGACAAAGAAGAGATATCTAAGTAGGAGAATCGGTAATTTCAATTCTCAATAGAGAAAGCAAAAATAAAGCTTTGGAAAGGGAAAATTTGATTATAGAAATATAGGAAAAAAGTAATTTTTTGAAGAGCGAATTTTTTTTAAATTTGGTTCTGACTTTTGGGAAAGAAAAAAAAGGAATTTTAGGAAAGAGAATAAAAGGGAATTTTTAATTTTTGAAAATTATCTTTTTTTTTCAGGTGATTGCTTGTATTTTTTTCTTTTTGTCAAGTATTTTTTCTAATCTTCTCTTCTTTTTAAATATTTTACTAGAGGGATTTTTTTTTTTTGAAAAAGATTCCAATAGTGGTGGTCATGAATGATAACACGATGTTAGGTTCTTTAACATCCATTATGACCGTGGAAAAGTCGATTAATTAAATGGTTACACTCGCTGTCAAAATTAATCTGATAAATTTTGATAATAAATGAAACTTTGGCATATGACGATGTGAGGTGATGGATGCATTATATTCCATGAATCTGGAGGTAATTTTGGATAACGAGGAATATCCTGAAGAGATGTTAGAGTGCTTGTGGCTTGATCTGAAGTTGTTTGACCCAAGAGATCAAATATGGAGTGATGATGGATTTCTGTAGAAAAATTGTAGAGGATGTTATAGAACAAATATCTCACGAAGAATGTGGAGAATAATTTTCATATAAAGTGTTGATTCTATAAATTTCACATGAGACGGGATTACTATTGATGAGCACTTAAATGACTTCACAAAATTGTTGGCAGGTTTGTTAAATTAGGAAGAGGAGGTTGGAGATGAAGATAAAACTCTCATTTTGTTGAATTTATTTTTAGATGAGTACAAAAACTTCACTATAACACTCATTCATGTGAAGATCTTGAATTATGATGAAGTGACTATAACGCTATTAGTTCATGAGTTGCATGGAAGTGACCAAGACTCCGTAAAGGTGAGAGTCAGCTGAGGCACTTACATTACAACGTGGCAAATCTGAGAAGAAGAAGAATTAAGCAAAAAAAGGTGGCAGCATCGATACTTTTCAAAAGCGGGGTAAGTCTCGTGGGCAATTTTGGGAAAAATCAATATGTTTTGTTGTTTAAAGACTAATCATTGGAAGAAAAATTGTTTGAAACTGGAGAAGGGAAAAGAAGTTTTGTCTGGGGTGAAAGCTAATATCAGTGTGAAATGATGTGAAGAGGCTGATTCATATGTATCTTTATGTGTAGTTTCTCACAGTTTGTTTACAAATGATTCGTGTTAGATTCTGGATACATGTGCTACTACATATTTTTCACATCGAGGGTGGTTCTGTACGTGTAAGGAGCCGGATAGTAGTGCAGTAACTATAAACAATGATGAAACTTGTCGTATTATTGGTATAAGGAGTCTTTATCAGGATGCTTTATGATACTATTAGTACAGTGATTATGGACAACGATCATGCTTGTCGTAATATTGGTATAGGGAGTATCTTTATCAGTGAGTTTTCTGTTTAGAGACTGATCATTGGAAGAAATATTATCTGAAACTGAAGGAGAATAGAAAAGAAGTTGCATCTGGGGAAAAAGCCAATATCAGCATTGAAAGATGTTAAGAGACGGATTTAGATGTATCGTTATCTGCAGTTTCTCACAATTTTGTTTAAAGATGATTTGTACTGGATTCTAGATACAGGTGTTACCTCTCATTTTTATCCCCATCGATAGTGTTTCTGTGCGTATAAAGAGTTGAATATTGGTGTAGTGACTTTTGGCAACGATCAAGCTTGTCGTATTATTGGTGTAGGTAGTATCTCTATCAGGATGCTTGATGATATTTTGGGAGAGTTGACCGATGTTAAACATGTTCCAGATATTATGAAGAATTTGCTATCAAGTGGGGCTTTAGAGTTCAAGCGCTATAAGGTAGTTATTGAGACATGAGTTCTGAGGATATGCTGTGGTTCAATTGTTTTATGAAGGAAGTTCATAATCACATTCTTTACTATCTTAAGTGTAGTACGGTGACTGGAATAGTTGTTCCTGCTTGCTGATAATTCTTCTGACGTCAGTTTGTTGTGGCATATGCGGCTAGCTCATGCTGGAGAGACTTCACTTTAGGCTTTGGTGAAGAAATGATTGATCAAAAGAGCGAGCACCTGCAAACATGATTTCTGTGAACATTGTGTATTTGACAAGAAAACACGAATATCTTTTGAGACTGACATTCACAGTATAAAATGTATTTTAGAGTATTATTCACATAGATGTTTGGGTTTCGACAAAGACAACATCATTCAATGGGCGAAGCTATTTTGTCTCTTTTATTGATGATTACTTTTGGTGTGTTTGGGTGTACACCATGAAGTGCAAAAATGAAGTGTTGAAGATTTTTATAACTTAGAAAAAGTATATTGAGACTCGGATTGGTAAGAAGATTTGGTGTATCAGATCAACAATGACGTGAACACTTCAGATGTTTTTGCAATAGTGCTGGGGACTTGGGATAGAGCAACGCTTCACTGTTCAGAGACACCAGAGCATAACAATGTGGCAGAGAGGATGGACCGGCCTTTGGTAGAGAAAGTTCAGTATATTTTATCCATTGCTGGGTTGGATAGAGTCTATTGGGCCGAGACCATAGAATATGTCTGTCACTTGGTGAACTGTCCACGTTTTGAAGCTATTGGGAAGAAAACCCCAAAGGAGATATGGTCAGGGCATTCTACTAAAAATTATGAGCACATGAGAGTGTTTGGCTGTCCAGCTTTCCACCACGTACAGAATGATAAACTTGAATCACAAGCAAAGCAGGCGATTTTCATTGGCTTCAGGCATGAAGTCAAAGGCTTCAAGCTGTATAATCAGTCAGAAAGGAAGATTGTCATTAACAGAGATGTTACATTCCACGAGACAAGCTTGTTGAAAAATTGAGACTCAAAACAGATAGAGTTTTTTACTAGGATCACAAATATACGACATGAGTTGGAGTTTGTTGTAACTCTTTTTGTTTCACAGAGTTCGTCTACTCCAACTTAGATATCTGATTCAGTTGCAGTTCAGGTGGTCTATGCTAATAGTGCTAAGAAGATGGGATTCCTGCTTAGGAATCTATTGCTAGGAGTAAGGTCAGACACCACAATGTCCTAAGATAAGCTTTGTTGTGAGATCACATTGCATTTGCACTTTCAACTACATAGGCCGAAATTCTTTGTCACTACAAAGAAATGGAGAGCCCATGTTGTGATCTTTATAGAGCAACAATGCTCTTCGGAAGAATGATACTTGGAAGTTGGTGAAACTTCCTCCTAAAATGAATACTATCAGGTGCAATTGGATGTATGGTAAAGAAGGAAGGATCTTGTGGAGCTGATGTGCGATGCAAGGTAAGATTAGTGGCGAAAGACTTTCCGCAACGAGAAATGATTGATTATGATGAGGTGTTCTCCTCAGTGGTCAAGCTTCCCTCAATTATTTTTAACTTAGCACTTGTTGCACAATACGGTCTTGAAACAGCTTCATGTGAAGATTGCATTTCAACATGGGAAATTGCAAGAGATCTACTTGATACAATTGCCTGGATATGGAGCATCAAAAGACCTAGGGTCCTTGTTGGGCAGCTTATAAGTGCGAACGCCGCCTCACCGTTTGGAAAACACGTTTCGACAACTTATCTGAAAACGTGGTTGGGTTTTTACACTAAACGCAAGTCGCGTGTCGAACCTTACGGGTCGCGTTTCAGGATAAACTGTTTATCTGGATAAACACAAGCTATTGCAAACACACTCTTGGTTTGCAAACTAAACAAGTTTTTATATGAGTTAAAGCAGTCGTCATAATAGTGGTATAAAAATTTTGGCCAGTTCATGTGTACACGAGGAGTCAGTATGATCGTGATGCATTTTTCAAGAAATTGGCAAATGATGAGTTCATTTACTTGCTTCTATATGTTGATGATATGTTGATTGCATCTTGCTATCTATATTGAAGTTGATAAGATGAAAATTAACTATCCTAACGTTTTGAAATGAAGTTGAGTGATGCTCGCAGAATTCTTGGCATGGAGATTTTCAGGGAAAAACTGTTGAAAAGATTTGGCTTTCCCAAGGAACTTATGTTTGGTAGATCCTGAAAAAATTGAGGTTGGTGACTCTAATAAGACGACGAGTTTACCTATTATATCTCAATTTCAGTTGAGTTTAGATTAATGTTCTAAAGATGATCATGAAAGGAAATATATGCGA